TACATGGACTTTTCATCACAGCTGTTCTTTGAGCCCTTCTCTGCATGTTCTCTGTGTGGGCTTATGAAACTGTGATTAATCCATGAGAACTGTGGAGATACAGGCTGTAATGACAGCATGGATAAGTTGTCAGGGGACTATGTTTTTATGGATCCTGCCTAAATTCCTTCATCAGATGATGAGAGCTGTACTTTATCCAGGTGATTAAGTTAGGACATATTTGTCTCAGGCTGAGGATAATATTTGTTTTGGTGACTCTTTCATTATACTTGAAGCAATTCTTAAAGCTGTTCATGTAGTACCTTATTAACTCAAAGGAACTTCTGTTTCCATGTCAAAACCGTGGAAGTGAGTAGTGAGATGCACTGAAAAATCTGCTGTGAGACTTCTGAAATGGATTCCACATGCTGACACCACTCCTGCATCAATCCACCAGTGAGAACTCGAGCTCCTTTACTGGTCTTTATGAGAAGTATTTAATTCCCTGGCATCTGCTGAATGGCTACCCGGAGATGTGTGTGTTATAGTTTCACCACGCACTCTACCACAGTAGAAATGCCCAAGGCTTGTTACTCTAGTCTTGTCTACCTGTTCCTTTTAGTTGAGAGTGTTCTGAATTTACATGTGAGAAGCTGCTCGCAGCTGGAGAGTTACTGACACTGCTTCTTCAAGTGAAGTGATAGACGTGCTTCTCATGTTCATCTACTCTGCCTTTTCATCCAGAGTTAATCTGGTACTTGGCTGTGTTGGGATTGTGTGGCTGACAGGGCATGAAGGTGACATTAAGCATATTCCTGGGCTGAGCTGGAAGGATGGCAGCAGTGAGGGTAATGTTTAAATTCATAATTAGAAGGAGAAAAAGTCTTTCCTCTTAAGCAAGACGGCTGCTTTGTGCTCACAGTGTGAAGGTATATGACTATCACGTCTCAGAGGGCTCTTTTTATTATGTCAGTGTAAGTTTTGGTTTTATTTTTATTTCAGCGTTGTATTTCTGTTCTCCCCTTGTGGAAGGGAGATCGCAGTCACGTTACATAGGGCTGAGTGGGTCCTTGCACAGTGCAGTTCCTGCATGTATAATTTTAACCGAGAAAACTCCTCCACTGAGCTTTATCTCCACTCTCACTAGTGTTTTACAGGCACTTATTTTCTCTGCATTTTAATTTTTCCCAGGTGCTGAATGTTGCATTGTTTCTTATTTCACACATTCTTTACAGCCTCTCTTTCTGCTGAGCACTTTATCCTTCCACTTTCCTATATCAGCTTCTCGAAGCCATGTTTCAGTCTAGCTGCTTTGTGGTGAGAAGCACAAACTTTGATACAGTGCGCTTAGTAGGTAGGTGTTAAGCGGGCAATTAGTATCGAAGAAGGAGTGGGCCAAATTAATCAACTCAGCTTTGCTGAAATCCCCAGGTATGAGGCGTTGCTCCATCTATTAACTAGAGTAGCTCCTATTAACTGAAGTTAGCCCTAATTAGCCCCATTATAAATGAACTAAGGATCAGGTTGGCATCCTTCTAGTTAATGTAAAGTTTCATGTTAAGCTGTTCATCAGGAGAATAGACGCGATATTTTAGTAGCTCAGGAAGGCATCATTTTTCTAATGCATTTTTTCCTTGTTGTCTGCGAGTTTCTGGCTGCTAATGTAAGTATGTACTGACAGAAATGCATCGGCCTCCCCCACCCCCAGGAGGCTACTTATTAGACTTATGCAATGCAAGATATTAAAAGCACTTTTGTCTGTCACACAGCCACGGGCAGGGGAGGGGGAATTTGCCAGTTGCTAATGGATACCTGGAGTTTTTGTGTATGACCATGAAGAACAGCTTGTGCACTTTCACCCCCGATGTTCCCTGAATAACTTGGGTCTCATTTAGGTCAATAAGCCTTTATCGAAACGTCAGGAGTGAAAAATGTGTCTTGGTGTAAGCCGACTGGTCGTTCCCTCCAGTCACCGGAGTCTATAGGACAATCAATGTTCTCTGAGCTTGTCTGCATGTCACGCAAAGGGCTGGGTGACAGTAACCATTGACTGCGTGTCTGTCGTATTGTCTTTGGGACAGGCTCCATTTGCATACTTGCCGGTGTGCCTGTTATCCAACGAACCATGGAGGGCCTTTAAAAAACGTACGCGCACAACTCCCATGCAAATTTCCTACGCCAAGAATACACGCTTCTTTACAGCACAATCCAGGCTTTCACTTTCTACCTCCTTGCTATAAAAATGACACTGCGATCCTGACAAGGCCACGGGGCCTGGTCGGTCGGTGCTGCTTGTGGTTCCATTGTGCTAAAACATTAACTTAACTTTTCTCTGGGTTTTGCTTTGCCTATCGTGATCATTTTTGTTTGTTGTTCTTTTGCTGTTGTTAATTGCTTTTGGGGATATCTGAACAGTACTGTTCTGTGCTCTCACACACGATGTGAGGCCATACATCCCTTCCTCAAGTCAGTTAGTTTGAATGAAGGACAGTTTTTACTACCTCTGTGGTTGCTATTGTCTGTTGTTAAGGGAGTTTCCTCTGTGGTACTGACGAAAGCAGACGTGCTACCCTTCTGCATACAGAAGAGTACTTGGATATTAGGTTTTATTGACCATGTCTGTGAACCGAATAAAATCACCTGATCAGAAAAGGCCTCCTCTGGTGCTTTATTATGCTGCGACAGTTCAGCAGCACCTCGTGTAAAGCAGGGCTCATAATTTTGCCATTCACTGTAGAGTCATAAATGACATTAGGTGAAATTGGACAAAGGGAGAATTTTGTTGCTTTTGAAGCTTCAGTCATAAGACATCGTCTGTCTTTGAAGCATCAGCTGCAGAAGCTGGTTTTTTAGATTTATGATGTTCATCGTGACTTTATTTTACTCAAAAATATATAATAGTAGTCCAGTTAAAAAAAAAAAAAAAAGCTGAAGGGTTCTGGTTCATCCTTTCAGAATGAAGCTGTAGAAGAGACTCTTAGCTGGGTCAGAGGGTCTGAGCTTTGTGTTTATTACAACCAAGAATCTGGACAGTTTCATTGTATCCTGAAAATCTAACTGGAATACAAGTGACTATAAACAACTGTGATAGCTGTTCTGCTGCATCTAATGTCTTGCACAGTTTATGAGATTGTCAAAACTATGGGAAAGGGTCCTGGCTAATGTTCTCCTGGCTTTTCTAGGGGTGTTATGGAGTTGAACTTCAACACTGTAGTGCCCTGAGATGAATAGTTTGTTATGCCACCAGGAGACTGGCGTTTCAGAGCCATGAAAAGATTGTAGTAAAATTAACTGGTGCAGAACATTTTTTTTTTTTCCCCCCCTCTTTTTGCTGTATACATACCAATTATTTTACTCAGTATTCAGGGCAAAGTCTCACGCGTTTTTGAAGCTAATAATATAGAATCACAGAATGGTTTGGGTTGGAAGGGACCTTAAAGATCATCCAGTTCCAACCCCCCTGCCATGGGCAGGGACTAGACCAGGTTGCTCCAAGCCTCATCCAGCCTGGCCTTGAAGACATCCAGGGATGGGGCATCCACAGCTTCTCTGGGCAACCTGTCCCAGTGCCTCACCACCCTCTGCAGGAAGAATTTCTTCCTGATACCTAATCTAAACCTCCTATATGACTCCTATTCATCTTGACTGGGCTAGGGTTGTATCTTGGTTATTATAAATAATTCAGAAAATAATCACAGGTAACATCTTGAGTCCCATTTGCCAGTCTGTTATGAGAAACAGCAGTGAACCCTGCAGAAACGTGAGGAGGCTGTATAAAATATTCAGCAGCATGTCATCTTCTCTGCAGTTGTGCATTATATTAATTCACTCCATGAAATGCGCAGCTTGTTCTCTTAGTCTGCATTAGCCTGTGTAACTGTGATACATTATGGTTGGTTTTTTTG